TTTGTCTTTATTCATCTCTCTCTCTCTCTCTCTCTCTCTCTCTCTCTTTATATATATATATATATATATATATATATATATATATATATATATATATATATATATACTGCGAGGACGCCTTGCTAGTCCCTATCGCAACTAAAATTTGAAAATCATTAATTGAGAACTACAAGAAGGTGCTGGTTGCTGTAGAAGTGAATAATGGCTATTCTACAAAGTACTAAATGAAGATTATGTATTCTTTTTATATTGTACGAATACTTTTTTCACCCATTAAAATAGATGAATGGGATTTATTTCTATTAAATCAACATTTTTTTTCTGTTTTCCTGTGCATATTTAGTTATTATGCATCTGTGTACAGTTAATTATATCAAGAGTATGTTTATTCATTAGTTGTAAATACAATAAATTAAAAATTTGTATGTGTACGAATATTTGTTACCCCCGCCCCCTCTCTCTCTCTCTCTCTATATATATATATATATATATATATATATATATATATATATATTGAACAATAAAAAAATTAAAAAAATTAAAATCTTTAGACACACTGGGTTGTAGATTAATATTCTTTCGTTTTTTTTTATTATTATTCCATTTAGATTCCTTGACTAGTTTCGACCAAAATAGCCATCATCGGGAGGAGAAATATTTCTGCTTGCTGGTAGCACTAAACTACAGAAAAAAAAATATATTTCGTATGAAGTTGTTCCTTGATCTAAGCTTTCGGTTCACATGAACCATCTTCAGATTGGTTATACAGACATTATAACCAGTCTGAAGATGGCGCATGTGAGTCGAAAGCTTATATCGTGGAACAGCTTAATAAGAAATATCCAAATATTGGACAATTGTTGTCTTTATTTTTACCCGAAATTAAAGCAAGTATACGAAGTTTAGAACGGTTCATAATCAAACATAAAAGACATTCATTGTCTGTTATATTTAACAATATATGTTTACATAATGATCTGATGGTCAACTTCACGAGAGCGTTCCTCTGCTCCTTCTTGGTCTCACGTTTTCCACTGACCTGAGGTGGAACAACTACACTGAATCAATAGCTATATCTACCGTAAGGAAAGTTGGTTCTCTGTATCGCGCCAGAAGGTTTTTCTCGTCTAAATCCATCCTTCACATCTACAAATCTACCTTGCATTGAATACTGTTGCCATATATGGTCTGATGTCCCCCCTCTTCATCTCGAGGTTCTCGACAAAATCCAATACGGAATGCAATGTGATAGACCCTGACCTCGCATCTCGATTCCAGTCACTTTCTCTCAGACGTGATGTGGCTTCCCTCTGTCTTTTCTACAAATATTTTCATGGCATTTGCTCTGACGAGCTATTTTCACTGGTGACCCAACTGCATGAATTTAAGCGTGCTACTAGGTTGGTATCTCGGTCCCACCATTTCACTGTCGAAACAGTTAAATGTAGCCGTGTCTTCTACTCCAACATCATCTTCCTCTCTCTTCCCGACAGTGAAACTCCTTTCCTCTTATTTGCTTCTTTGATAACTATAATCTTCAAAAATTTAAATGTAATGTCAATCGACATCTTCTTATGCCTCGATCATGATCCCCGTCCTTCTCTTTATCCTTTTCTTAAACACTCCTCTTTACTCTTACTCTCACTCTCTGTAACCCTTTGCGTGCTAGTGGCACTCCATCCCTTCTTGGCATGAAATGCTTAAAGAAAAAGATATCACATAGCAGTTCAATGCCTGTTATTTTTTTTTATCTAACAGCATTTTCTTATCTAACAGCATCTTCTTATTCTTTGCTTAAAGTCTAGAAGGCATCTTTCTCTAATCCATGTGACCGTTCATTGGAATCGATGTTTTATTTAAGCGCAATCCATTTTCTCTTTGTGTGGGTGCGAATTTTCGTAAAGACATCGGAATCAACTAAACACGCATGAGCAAAGAAAGACATGCACACACAGACATGCGCACAAGCGCATAAAAATAAACTGACGCGAACAGACATACACAAGTCGTATTTTTATAGCCATGAAAACATTTACTTAGGTAATGGAATTCCTCTCTTTGTCTGCCGTACGAAACTATTAAGATTCCTAAATATCGAGGTCAGCGGGAAAAGTGAAAAAAACAAACAAAAAAAAAAAAACGGATTTTGAGCGTTAAGTAGAAGAAAAAGGAGAAAAATCAAAATGCGGCGGTGACGGACTGATTTTAATCTTAAATATAAATAAACAGAATATTCTGCAGTCTATCAATATCCTTCTCAGCATGTTCATTATCTATCTATCTATCTATCTATCTATCTATCTATCTATCTATCTATCTATCTATCTATCTATCTATCTCAGTCTGTTCATATCCTATCTATCTATCTATCTATCTATCTATCTATCTATCCCAGTTTGTTCATTTCCTCTATCTATCTATCTATCTATCTATCTATCTATCTATCTATCTATCTATCTATCTATCCCAGTTTGTTCATTTCCTATCTATCTATCTATCTATCTATCTATCTATCTATCTATCTATCTATCATATCTTTTATATAAATAGAATTAAGTATGAACGGACATAAACTGATCAAGAAAGAAGGAATGAATGAAAGAAGAAAGTTAGGAAAGAAGTATATCTATCTATCTATCTATCTATCTATCTATCTATCTATCTATCTATCTATCTATCTATCTCAGTCTGTTCATATCCCATCTATCTATCTATCTATCTATCTATCTATCTATCTATCTATCTATCATATCCCATCTATCTATCTATCTCAGTCTGTTCATATCCTATCTATCTATCTATCTATCTATCTATCTATCTATCTATCTATCTATCTATCTATCTCAGTCTGTTTCATATCCTATCTATCTATCTATCTATCTATTTCTATCTATCTATCTATCTATCTATCTATCTATCTATCTATCTATCCCAGTTTGTTCATTTCCTATCTATCTATCTATCTTATATCTTTTTATATAAATAGAATTAAATATGAACGGACATAAACTGATCAAGAAAGAAGGAATGAATGAAAGAAGAAAGTTAGGAAAGAAGTCTATCTATCTATCTATCTATCTATCTATCTATCTATCTATCTATCTATCTATCTATCTCAGTCTGTTCATATCCTATCTATCTATCTATCTATCTATCTATCTATCTATCTATCTATCTATCTATCTATCTATGTCCAGTTTTTATCTCCTTTCTTCATCCTTCAACGTGTATTTCTGAACAATTCTTTTTTTTTTCAAATACAGTATAGGAATTGATGTTGAAATGTTGTTGGCCCGACCCAATTTCGGAAAATCTGACCAAATGATCACATATTAGAATTCCCTTTGCAGTCTCTTTCTGGTCGAATGAAGAACTTTTCAGCATTCCCATAGATAAATATATGCTTTCAGTAAAGGAGTAAGATGTGTGAATATTAAAAAAAAATACATAAAGAGTATGTGATTCTGTTTTACCACACTATTGTTACTTAAAAACGAGTCTACTGCTATTTCATAAGATTATCTTAGTTTGTCACAAGTGGCTTACCCATGAAGAGCCCCTAAATATTTACGTAGGTTCATAGCCTAAGGATTAAAACAGTATTTATGTTACACTACAAACATTTAATTTACACGCGAATTATTGCCCTCATCTTTGTTGCTATTGTCACAACGTTTCAGTCGCTGTGTCTCCGACCTCCATGAGGTATATGTTGATCCGGGTAACCTACACGGTATTCGGAATTGAATCCTATATTTATTATTTTTACAATAATGTTTTTCCTGTACAATGCCCAAGAATCACAAAAGGTAGAGTTTTAAAAATAAGAGGTACATTTTATGCGGGTATGTGGGGAGGATAATGGTTCGCCATAGACTTGAACATGTTAAGATTGTAGTGATCGGGGAAGCATCCTCTTGGGAGTCCGTTCTCCCAAAGCAACGGTTTTTAGGAAGAGTTGTTCGAATGGAACTTATCAATGGAATACGAAGGGAGTGAGAGTGATTCGCTATAATGTGCATGGCTTATAGCGGGTCTTAGCTGTGAAGGTCTGAACTGGTGGAACTAAGGGATGTAGTTTATCTGAACACTTTCAATGACTACCGGCGTCGTTCTAGTTCCACTGTCCATGCCTAGGGATATCTCGTCTTGTTTTTATTTTTAGTCTAGTTCAGCTATTTCCCGTCCTGTTTGCTGGTGAAGACCAGAGCGCATAGCATCCAAAACGTTGTGACAACAACAACAAAGATGAGGGAAATAGTCCGCATGTAAATCCCGGAAATTTATCAGAAATTACAAACATTTAATTTTCAGCATGATTATCTACCCTGTCAATGCGCTTCATTCGGTGGGAGGCGTGTTAATCCCCTAGACTGAAAATTATGTAGTGGACATTTCAGATTAATAAGTAAGTTTCAAGTTATGGAGTAACTGGACCTACCTGTGTGTGTGTGTGTGTGTGTAAAAATACACACACACACACACACACACACACACACACACACACACACACACACACACATATATATATATATATATATATATATATATATATGTGTGTATATATGAATAAAAAGAAAGAACAGTAAGATATATAATCCGGTGTTCTTATAGATATTTTTATTTTTTACAAAGTAGTGCTCAATGTAAATTTACAGAGCATTAATATTATAAATTAATTGATTTAAAATATGTTTTTTTCGCTACACAGTTCTAACCATGTTTCAAAATTTTTTAAATCAATTAATTTATAATATATATATGTATATATATATTTTAGGCAACGTATCTTCATTCAAGCAGGTTTCATTGAATAATATAGACATATCGTATTTTCTTATTTTTATACTGATCCTTTCCAGTTGTCTAATCAGTTTCTTGAAGTTAAGAAGATGAAATTCATCGAGGAAGGCGTCGGAGTTGAGAGTTGGTTGATTGATTTTTATATAATCCTCGAGAATTCGAACACGTTCTTGTCCACCTTTACAATAGAGGAAAGTATTTGTTGACAACACCAATATACTACACCACGAAAATAACAAAACAAAGACTTCAAATTCTTGAGGCCCTCTATATCAAAATCAACCCACCAACACTCAACAAAATTTATTACGAATATAGCAACAACATATTAGAGTGCATATAACATTTAATGCCATTTTACATTTCTATCAATTTCCAGTCAGCTCCCATATATTGCATCGACTGTTTTGCAAAAAAAAACCCCCAAAAAACCCCCCAAAAACAAACAAAACAAACAAAAAAATCCATAGCTGCAATGGATAAATTCAATGTGATGGTGTTTTTAAAAATCACCATCACAATGAGATGCAGATTTTATTACGGTAACAATAAGTTTGCCTTTGTAATTTATCCCTGAAGATGATCTTGGTAAAGATCGAGAGTACCTGGGTTAACAAAAACTACGCCGACTTCCTTATGAATTTCATCTTAACATCAAGAAACTGATAAGGGAAAGGATAAGTATAAAAATAAGTAGACAAAATATGTTTATATTATTCAATGAAACATGTTTGAATATATATATATATATATATATATATATATATATATATATATATATATATATACTCGTGATTGATTGTGAAATTTCCGCCGAGAGGTCAACAGATGTGACGGGTATAGAAACAAGAAAAATTGACTCCTGTTGATCAACCAAAGCGTTCCTTTCAACATTCGCAGAAGGTTATCGAATTAAATAGATACCTAAGCAATTACAGTGAACGAAACGATAAAGGAACCATTTGGAATTAATCAAGGCCTAATGGTAGATGACTTGTGTTAAAATTTCAGATGAAAATTGTTATAAAAATTACCATACGATTACAAAATGGTTGCTTAAATAAAAAATGTTAATACGAGATTTCATCTGTCATGCTGAAATAACCAGAACAGATTAATAACTTTAATTAATTATAAATAAAAAAAGAAAGAAAAGGTGTTGTAACGCGAGGAAACAAAAAAAATGAAGAAATGACATATCTAAAATGTATAAATCTTTTTTAAATATATTTTAAGAATATATTTATCTGTATTTTAAGAATATATATATATATATACTATTTACATTATTCGGACTATTGTCCTCATCTTTGTTGCCATATTTATCACAGCGCTTCGGCCGTTGTACGTTGTTCATGTGGATGGAATGTCGAACTGACTCTTTATTTCGCTCACTGGGGTAGACTGTTCTAGTTCCACGTGCCATATTTAATGGATGTCAGTTATCAGTTATCTCCTGTTAATTCCCCTCTCCAAGTTCTCCACCGCCTTAACCAGGTATTGTATTCACACTCTTTGGGTCCTGTCACTGGATCTAACTAACACCTTTATCCACTGTGCCATGTGTCTTTGAGGACAATATATATATATATATATATATATATATATATATATATATATATAATTTATATATATATATACAAATTTAATGAAAAACACACTTTAAGGTACCATTACAATAATTTATTTCACCAAAATCCTTTTTAAAGGATTTCGGATCATCAGGTAATACTTCCAACAATGAAATGAGAGGAAAAATGTGATTAGAAATTGATAGGTAGTGTAATTTTTGTAATTAAACAGGGAAGGTGAAGGTGGCGGTTATATATATATATATATATATATATATATATATATATATATATATATATATTGCTTCAAACGTTATTATAGTTGATACTTCGTTATTGAAATAGATATCTCATTCTTATTTATTCCTTTACTTTCTTTCTGTCTATATTTCTTTCTTTCTTTCTTTCTCAAATTTAATTTCCTTCCTTTTTGTCCTTCTCCCATTTTCTTCCTTTCCTTTTTCTTTCTTTCTTTCTTTCTTTCTTTCTTTCTTTCTTTCTTTCTTTCTTTCTTTAATTTTGCTTTAATTTTGCTTTCTTTTTCTTTATATATTCTTTCTTTTTTCTTTTCTTTCTTTCTTTCTTTCTTTAATTTTGCTTTTTTCTTTATATATTCTTTTTTCGTTTTTCTTTTCTTTCTTTTTCTTTTTTCTTTCTTTCTTTACTTTTTCCTTCTTTTTCTTTCTTCGTGTATGTCTTTTCTATTATGATTGTCTTGTATATTCACTTTTCCTCTTATTTCCATCTGTTTTCTCTCTGCATTTCTTTTCCTATGTACTCATAAACAATTGACACTGATGTTAAGTTATCTAAGGGTTTAAGTAAAAAAAATGTTTAAAAAAATGTATTTTTTAAAGCTAATTCAGAATAAAATGACCCCCCCTCAAAACGAAGAAAATATAGACAGGTATTGTAATGTAAGATGCACGTTCACTGCGTAAGTCTGTTACGTCGATATGTGATGTTTATAGGCCTAATACAAAACATCACAAACAACAGACTAATCAAGTGATGGTCTTACATGTTACTGAAAAAGAGCTCTAAATCTGATTACGCATGGGTTCTATAAAATCTCCAATGCTCTCTAGGATTTAGTTCTAGAAGACTAACAGCTGGCTCTTTAACCGTCGCAAATTAAGTATTAGTGTACGATCTTGTTGATCCAACACATACAAGAAGTATTCACTGCGATTAAAATATGTATAGTTCAGTCTCCAGTGCAACACGCTGCAAACAATGTATTAAGAAATTGGAAAGTTTCATTAGAAACAAAGAAACCCATGCTGAACTGTTATGTAGTACCAGTTCTCCAATATGACAGTGAATGCTAGTCAATAACATCACAGATGAAAAGGAGTCTTCAGGCAACAGGAATGTGGCTCTACAGAAGAATGCTGAGAATACCATGAACAGAACATGTGAGCAATGAGGAAATTTTAAGGTAAATTGAATTAGAAAGAGAATATAATGAGGAAATAAGGCTTGGAAGATTTAACACCCACAGGACATGAAGAAGGCAAGAAAAGCAGCGGGAAACAGTGAGTGATCTGTCTAACGTGATTGTGTAGTTAGATGGAAAATATAAACTGCGATGTATAGTAAGGGGTAAGCATTAATTAGTGCTGCAAAGGATAGGAAGTTGTGGTGAGCCGTGATTGCCCATGTTTTGAAGAGTCACAGCGTATAAAATGAAGAATGCTAATCTTAGTTATTATACTTATAATGTTTCTACCGTTGTGCCTTACAGTCTTCTTCAGAGATTTAACCGTCCTGGTTAAGACGATAAACTACATCCGCGTCCTGGGTAAGACGATAAACTACGTCCCACGGCAAGGCCTCCGATCAGGAGGTTTTGAGGAGCCTGGAACCACCTCTTAATTGCTGGTGTTCCCAGGTCCACCCTGACCCGGAGTGATAGCACCTGTTAGAGTCCCAGTTATGTGTAAATTGTTAACCCCCATACTGATGTCAAAACACTATGAAAGTAGGTTTTAATACCAGAAATACTTTGTAAAAAATGATTACCAGCCAAATGTTTTTGAAGAAAAATTATTACCTGCAATAAAAATCTTGTCGGCATTAAATAACCCAATTGAGGATGATATGCCATAAAACAAACCAAACCAAACTAAACCAGAGATTTAGCACATGGCCCCAAGGATGGGGCGCCTAGCATGCTCAGAACTGTCTAATATCGAGATGGTAATGTCTATTCCTTGCTGTTGGGTTTCTGCGCCATCATCTGACCTTTTTCCAAAATATTTGGGGAATGGCAAGTTTCGCCCACTAAAATAGGGGGTTGATGTGCCAGTTTCGCAAGCTAGTAGCAGTGCGTTCGATTCTCACTGGGTGCCACTGTTTTTCTTTGTCCTTGTGTCAAACTAATATATATGTACTTTACTAAGATATATTTACTATTTTTTAATCATTTCACCCCCATGCAAGGCTGTAAAGCCACTAAGACACTGAGTGTGAAAGAATAAGAAAAAACAAACAATATAAGAGTAATCAAAAAGACGTAACGATTGACATTGCATTACAAGTTTTGAAGATCAAATTTGGCTGGAAACCCTAGAGGCGGAAAAGAATTCCACAAGTGAGAAGTAAGTGAAAAGGAACCTTTAACATAGAACTTACGGTTAGATCTTGCCAATTTAACTGTAAATTGATGTGACCTTGATGTCAATCTAGTACTACGCTTAAATCCATAAAGTCAGGGTACCTAAGAGAAAAGTTCATTCGAACAATTACTATGGAAGTATTTATAGAAACGGTAGAGTGAAGCTACATTATGGCGTTGAGAAAGGACTGAAGCCGAGATGCCAGGTCCGGATCAATAACGTTGCTGATTCTTCTTTGGATTTTATCAAGACTCCCTAAATATATGACAGAAATACCAGACTATATGTAGGCAGCAATATTCAAGGTGTGGGCGAATGTCAGACTTATAAATATGTAAGACAGATTTTGAAGAGAAAAAGTGTCCAGCACGAAAATTGTGAACTAATTTTATAGTAGTAAACCTTTCAATTAATTCAATATAATCTTCGTCTGTCGAGAATGTTATCCTAAGAAGGCGAAACGAGTTATTCTCCTAGAGACGATCGTCAGCTATGCTGATGTGAGGCATTCAAATAATTAATTGGGATGTTTTGAAGGCATTACAATTAACAAGCCATTCCATTCCTCAGTTGATAACAGACAGTCGGTCCATTTTTTTTTTTAAATCAGTTACCAATTTGATCTGATCGAACTGAGTAGATTTACTATCGAGACATGAGTAAATAGTTGTCTTATCAGAATAAATGTTATTTATGGATGGTAAAATTATCATATTTGGGTAGCTTTATCACGGCCCAAGGAAGTATACTCCATTGAAATTTAAACTGAGGTATCCAAATGCTGATAGTTAACTGTTGATTTTGAGAGTAAAGGGTAGAAAATAAGATGAGGGTGGGGTAAATGGTGAGTGGTTTGCCAGACGGAAACTTGCTGAATGCACAAATGAGTCATCGGTCGTTAAAAAAACAAACAAAAAAAAAAACAAAAAAAAACAAAAATCAAAAAAAAAAAAAAAAAAAAAGAAAGAAAAAAAAAAAAAAAAAAAAAAAACTCACTGCTTCACTGATTGGTTAAATGATGCACCCACTGCGAGATTTCTCTTTTCATTACTTGGCTTTTTAAAATTAAAATTTTTCTATGCTTCGCTCACGTCCGTTACACAAAATATGTCTATTCAGATTTGGTGGGAGTTGAACAATAGGCACTGCGAATTCAAGTAATTTTTTTTTCTTCATATTACTATAGATCACGACGGTAGAGTAATGGGCAGTGGCTCGGATTCAGGAATCGGAGAGACGAGTTCGAATTCCAGTCGAATCCATTACATTCGCTTACGTGCTAATACTCTTCTCCCCCCTCCACACCTAGCTATGAACAGACCGGGTTCTATAGCCTTGGATGGCAACTGGTCTACCGCAGAAAGAAACCTACTGCGGGAAAAAAATCTGCTTCGTCAGTCATGTATCGAAAGATACATGATCGCCTAAGCGTGTATCACGCATGGCACGTAACTGACTGAGTTGAAACCATGAAACTACGTACAAAATATTTAGATTTTGTCATTAAATAACCCATAGAGGTTGATATGCCGCTAAATAAAACCAACCAACAGGCAAACCTATCTACTCCTATTGGTAAAAATCAGATGAGGCTTAAAATCCAATAGCTTACATCCTCATCCATAACACTCAATAGAGACAGTGTACAAAATTATAAAAACTTACCCATAGATTCCTATGGCTACCCAGGTGCTGTTACACCCTTGTGCAAATTAATTGTGAGAATCGGAAAATATTGATTTGTTATAGATTTAGAAGGGGAGTCCTTTTTATAATATCGATTCTATACGGTGGAGTAATGGATAGCGGCTGGGATTGAGGAATAGGAGAGCCGAGTTCGAATTCCAGTCGAATCCATTACATTCACTTACGTGCTAATACCCTTGGGAAAAGTATGAATCCTCTTCTTCTCCCTCCCCCACCAGCTATGGGTAAATAGCAGGACAAACCGGGTTCTATAGCCTTGGACGGCAACTGGTCTAAGAAAGAAATGGCAACCTACTGCGGGAAAAATCTGCCTCGTCAGTCATGTATCGAAAGATACATGATCGCCTAAGAGTGTATCCTGCATAGCACATAACTGACCGATAGATCACGAAAATTTGAAAAATACAAAAAAAAAAAACCCCAAAAAACAAAAACAAACAAGTTATTAAATTTTATAAAGATTAATAGGGATCTAGTTTAACTTTATTGTAAATTTATCCCTCTATGGAAGCCCAAACAAAATGCGCTCATATATTTGAAATTAATAATCGATACTGATAAAAGAAAACAAAAACCTACATTAAGAATTTAATTTCGTTTCTTTTTTTTTTATTTCTTTTCATTTAACATTGCCGAAAGAGGCTCAGTTTATAGTGAATTTAAATAACAAACTGGACAATGCTTTTTGTAACAACTTTCAACGTTTCAATGGAAACGAGTGAGCAATAACTGAGCAGTACTAAAAATAAGAACTAGACGAGATGTCCTCGTGATCTTGTCTGTCGGCGAGATTTAAACAATAGAACCCAATTCGCTTCTTTTGTTTCTAACTGAAAACTTTCACTTTATTAGTAAATATAATGGAAATAATGCTAAGCAAACGACGAACTCTCTTGATGAAGTCTAAGACGTAGAATTGTTATATTTCTCATAGCTACTAGATGACAGCTACATTTCAACCAACCAAGGCAATAAAATTACTAAGACGCAAGGGGGTTACTGAGTGTGAAAGAATATAAGAATAAAACATTATTAAGGAAAAAGAACAATAAGAAAAAACAGGAATTAAGTAGACAGGTGATAACAATTAACACTGCATTTAAATTAAGATCGAAGTTGATTGGAAAGTAAGAACCCAGAAGAGAGCTGCACAAGCAAGAAGTGCGAGTGAAGAAACTGTTAGCATAGAACTTGCGGTTATATCTAGCTAATCCAACTGTAAAACCATAAGATTGTGCTACCAATCTAGTACTGCGCTTAAGTCCATAGAGTCTAGGTACCGTGGAGAAGAATTTATCAGAACAATTACCATTAAAGAATTTATAGATAAGGTAGAGGAAAGCTACATCATGGCGGCGGGAAAATAACGGATGCCGAGATTCCAGGTGAGGACCAAAATTCTTCTTTGGATTTTATCAAGAATTTCTAAATATCTAACTGGAGCACTGGACCAAAAGTGGCGGCAATATTCTAAGCGTAGACGAATGGTAGACATAGATATGTAAGATAGATTTTGGCGAGAAAAATTGCCTAGCACAACAAAGTGAACCTATTTCACCTAAAAGACCTAACAACTGATTCAATAATATCATTCCACATGTCAGCAGAAAACGTTAGCTCGAGAAGGGGCAACGAGTCACCCTCCTGGAGGCTAGAATTAACCATACTGAAGTTGTTCTCTTAGACGATTAATAGAGATGTTTCGTTTTGGGAGCTTTAAAATTAACAAGCCATTCCTTGCCCCAGTTAACAACGAAAATTAGGCCATTTTTGAGATCTACTACCAGTTTGACCTGATCCGACCGATAAGACTTACTGCTAAGACAAATAGGTGTGTCGTAGACACCGAGTTGAGAATTAACGTCATCAAGATGGTAAATGATGAAAATTAGGAACAATGTAGTTCCAAAGCTAGAGTCCTGGGGGACACCCTTAATAATACAAAAGATCTAGAAGATTGGCCGTTCAAGACAACTTTCATTTCACGATTTGATGAAAAAGACAGAATCAGTTCAAAACTTCGTCCAGAAATAACATAACCTTTCAACTTGGGAAAACTGGTGTGCCTGTCAAATGCCTTTGAGATATCCAAAACAACAGTCCGATCTTCACCATTCTTATCTAAAGCTTGATAAACTGTTTCAACAATAATCGTTAATGTATCAGCAGTTGACCTAGAGAAGCGAAAGCCATATTGCTTATCTGAAAGAAGAGCTTGCGAGGTGAGAAGCTTAGCCAATTCAGAGATATTGATTAATTAACTTCTTTACCCACAATGCAGCTGTTCTAAAAGACATCATCTGTTTGTTAATTTCGACATTTTGTTATCACATTGGCTTCAGGCTGCTTATTTGATAATTTTGTTTTGCTTTTCGAATGAGGAATAATTAACATACTTTGACTGATTCAAGTCTTTTTCTTGGTTATTTAATAGATGTGTATTTGGATAAGCAATCACTCTTTTTAATTAATTTTTTTTTTAAAAGGAGAAGTGTTTGTCTGACTTGTTCAACAAGTAAATAAGACAGAGAAGCACTTTCCCTTTTTCTCAAATGTAGCTTTCTTTTTGATTTTTGATTTTTCTCTAATGTAATTTTTTTTCTATTTTTAGATGATGAACATGGCAATCGTTCTATATGGACCAGCGCTAGCACTTCACGCTGGTAAATATTAGCGCATTTTTATTTTTTATTTTTTTCTTCAAAGTTTCAATGCTTGCCTTTTTGCTGTTTTCTCGTTCGTTTGTAAAAAGGCGGAATTTATAGTTGTTAGCAAAAGGGACAACCCAAGATGCAGGCTACAAATTAGAGACGTCAAAATCGAGCAAGTACAGAACAGAATCTGTCTATATTTCTGAGATGAGGTTTTATGTACACCATTTACATTATTCGGTCTATTATCTTCATCCTTGTTGCCATATTTATCACAACGTTGAAGAAAGCCGGAGCGAACAACGAATAATGTAAATAGTGTACAGAACAGAAGTTTAACTATTTGGGAGGTGTTTTAACAGACGACATTGAAATCAGGACGCGCATTGGAATTTCAAACAAACTAAACAAAGTATTAAGAAACAGGAAAATTTTGTTGGAAGAATGCTTAACTATGATATAATATCAATCCACCAATATGAATGCTGGACAATTTCCTCAAAGATGAAGAAGTGACTCGAAGAAATGCGGTTCCCGAGAAGGATACTGAGAATAACATAGACGGGACATGTGAGAGAAGAGGAAATTTTAAGTAAAGTAGAAACAAAAAAGGGACACTTTTGCTTTGAGACTGTTGGAATTTCAAGGACATATAATGAGGAAAGAGAGCTTGGAGAATCTGACTCGCACAGGACATAGAAGGCAAAATGGCCAAGGGGAAGCAACAAGGAATAAGAATGAACTATGATCACTCACGGCACATAAATGAAGAATAAGTTTTAAAAGAAGAACCTTGAATCTACATTAAAAGCTATGTTGTATGGCTATAGGACTATTTTAGGCGGGGAGACGAAATTTCACTACTTTAAAGCTCTGAAGGGAGCGTTGGTTTCGGTTGCCTTTGTTGTTTTGCACTGTGAATGAGTAAAAACACACTGAGAGAGATTTTGAACTTTGTCAGTGGCGTTCGCCAGGGTTAGAGTTGTATGAATGAGAATTAGGCTTTTACTATTACATTTCTCCGCCGCGCCATATTCAGACTTGAGCGAAAGAGAATTAAACCCTTGATATCGTATTTCTCTGCCGCACCAGATTCAGATTTGTGTGAAAGAGAATTAGTCGTTTAATATTGCCTTTCTTTACCGCGACAGGTTCAGATATTTGCGCAAGAGTATTAGACATTTAATATTGGCTTTATTTGCGTGCAAGGTTCAGATATGTGTGAAAGATAATTTGGACCTTAATATTGCCTTTTTCTGTTGCGCCAAGTTCAGATTTGAGCAAAAGAAATTAGGCCCTTAATATTGCTTTTTCTGCCGCGTCCGGTTCAGATTTGAGCGCAAGAGAATTAGGCCCTTAATGTTGCCTTTTTCTGCTGCGCCAGGTTCAGATTTGAGCGAAAGAAATTAGGCCTTTAATATTGCCTTTTTCTACCGCGTCAGGTTCAGATTTGAGCGAAAGAGAATTAGGCCCTTAATATTGCCTTTTTCTGCTGCGCCAGGTTCAGATTTGTTTCTTGTTTACTCACTACATAGAATATTTCTATTAAATCATCCTGTTCTTGCTTCTATAAAGATTCATTTCCTTGTGGATTTTTTTCATACGCTTGGTCTGGACGAATGAGCTACAACTGTAAGGTCATGAGTTATATTGTTGCATTTTTAATCAGTTATTTTCAATCACTTTTCGGCCTTTGTACCTGACAAGTGCATATCACTTTAAGTCCTGTCGCAGAAGGGCTGTTTCTTTCAGGGAAGGGAGGGAAATTGACTTATTACCTGGCATTTCCTCTTTTTTTTTTTTTTTTTTTTTTTTTTTTTACTAATGTCCACCTAAGACAAGAACCAAGAGCCACTCAAGGTAGAGGATGACTGTTTCATGCTGTATGAGCGTAAGAAAAGGCAAGAAGGGAAATTCTTGGGGTTATGCAAAGATAATGACTAAATCTAAACTTGAAGATTTCAAGTTTTAATAAGTAAATAACATTTCATAATTCGTAATTCATAGTAAATAGAATTTCATAATTCAGCCAGAGACATTACAAGTATAGACTGGAAGTAGATTTTAGTAAGAACTGGAAACCCAGTCATAAACAGGAAACAAGGGATGACCCTCTACTCCTGTTCAAAAAGACCGAGAAGAGGCGTGAACCGGGCAGTAAACTAACCTATTTACTCCTATTTATGAAAAAGTCAAATAAAAATAAATAGTAAATAAAATTTTAGGATTTTGGTGGAAACCTTAGGAGTATAGAGTTGAAGTGGACTTTAGAAGGAACCGGAAGAGACCAATTCCTAAACAGGAAACTTGGGATACACTTCTACTCCTGTTCAAGAGGAGTGTCAACCGGGCGAGAAACAAACCTATTTACTGTTATTTGGCACCTGGTACATCTTCAAAAAGGGGAAGGGCCTCGATGACTGGACTAATTTGGGACCCCGGCCCCTCGTGGATCTCCCACGTAAAATGCGCACTTTAAACTCGGTCATATGGCCCCATTCTATCCGAGTAGGCGTGCGGGTGAATACCTTATCGCTTCTCTGCCTTTTTAGCCACGAGAAAGAAATTAAAGGAAATCCTATTCTGGAGGGCTGTTCCTCAACATTGCCTCTTCTCTATTTTTCTTAAATGGGGGAGGGGTGTCAAGTCTAGTTGTCAATACCAAAAAGGTGTGCTTTAAAAATGAATTGCTCAGGGATCTATATAATTTCTACGCGTGTAAGGCATTACGTTAAGTGTGGCTTTGTCACATCTATCTTCGTGGTGGGGGTAGGTAACCCCCCAAAAAAAAAACATTGTCAACCCAATTTTTGAATGACAATTACCACCTGGCCATCTCCAGCCCCTTCACCTGACGTATAATCGTACGGCTCAGTGATCATTATTTGGTTCCCTATAATTGATATAATGAAATCATTACCTTGCTCAATTGTAGCTTTCATCGCGGTAGCCCTTTTCACATACGCCGTTATTCTTACTTTATTCGTTGAAATCGTCTCGATCGCTGGCCAACTGTAGTCGATGTATTTCTAATGATCGATGACGTTTTCCCACCTTCTAATCGCTTTGTTATCTCTTTTTTAATTTTCAGTCGTGACGGGGTTGCTTTTTGCTTACCAGCACTTACATCAGATTTACACTTTAGACTGCATTTTAAAATGCCATGTCTCTTGAGGCCACAGGCCAGTGATTTTCAACCGCCGTGCCGCGTTATCTTCTTCTTAAGTGTTGATTTACTTGACACAAGGTCGGTTTTTAACGTGGGGACACGAGCGTTTTCACTTAGGCCGCTGGTCTTAGCTGGTCATACCTTGTCCAAGCTGCCCACACCTGGTCTAAGCTAGTCATAGCTGATCTTAGCTGGTCCAAGCTAGTCATAGCTGTGATACTACCAGCGCAGGGATGGATCCCTGTGACCGGCAAGTATCAGAATATGTATACCCCTCAAGAGAGGGTTTGATTTACTTGACTCCCTCACTGAGTCAGGTTGTGACACAAGGTTGCTTTTTAACGTGGGCACCCGAGTGTCTTCACTTGGGCCGCTGGTCTTAGCTGGTCATAGCTTGCCCAAGCTGCTTAGACCTGGTCTAAGCTAGTCATAGCTGGTCTTAGCTGGTCCAGGCTAGTCATAGCTGTGATACTACCAGCACAGGGACGGATCCCCAGACCGGCAAGTATCAGAATGTGTATACCACTCAAGAGTGAGGAATTTACGCATTCATCTTCTTAAGTGTGCCGCGAAATATTGTCACGATATATATATATATATATATATATATATATATATATATATATATATATATATATATATATAAGTAGTAATGGTACAGGATTAGTGTTTGAATAAATGAATATGTTTTAAACTTTTTTCAAATAATTCTTTTCACTATTCTTCGATTATGTTATTTTAAATAATTTGTTTTAATATTCATTTTTTAGAAAGTATTTTATTCTTTAAATTTAATTTTTTTAAATTTTCTTTTATCTGAATGAATTAATATTGACCTTTTTTCATATAACTGCATTCAACATTCTTTGTTTAACTCAAAATGTTTACAAAGTTATATTGAATTATGAATTAATATTGTCGAAATTTCCGATATGCAGTATTAACCATTTTATTTAATAATTTTCCAATTTTTAAAAAATATTAAGTTAGCCAGTAAGTCCTGACTCCCTTAGGAAACGGACAGTCAACAACATTTTATGGAGAAACACCAACATTTATTCTTCGAAAATAAAGTCCATGATTCTCGACAATCTTCTGCCAGCGATCAGCCAGCGCCCGAATCTGTCCCAGATACCAGTCTATTGGCTTTGAATCAAAAAACTGTAAACAAGCTTCCTTCACTTCATCAAAAGTGTTGAATCGCTGATCACAGGGGAAGTGTGACATTGAGCGGAATAGGCTATAGTCGCTCGGAGCAACACCAAGACTGAATAATGGATGGGGAGGTATCTCAACACGGTTCATCTGTTTAAACTTTTCCTTCTTGCTGAAACAAAGCTCGACCTCGATTGACCAAAGCAGGATACTCCTTCTTTAGTTTGCCATACACTCATACACTCGGTCTAGCTACTGGCAATACAATTTAGCGTTGATGGAGTGACCGTGTGGAAAAAAGCTCGAAATGCAATACTCCTTGGAAATTCTACCAGACAGAAATCATGATTTATTGTTTTCTTTCCTTTTTCTAAGTGAATCAGGACTTTCTGGCCAACCTATTATATTACTCCGAAATTTGTATAAAATGAAAATGACATGAAATTGTTTTTTTTTTTGTTTTTTATCATAGTAATATTTTATCTCACTTTCTAGGAGTTTGTCGTGTTATTTCCATTTGCTCTTAGGTATGCTGTCCCTTAAAAAGGCTGAGAAACACTGCCATAGGCAGTCATGGCTCTACACCGATTTCTCTTCTTTATTAGCTGTGAACTACTATGACTTCATAAAATGATAAAAATATATTTCCCAATTCTGACAAATGTTATAGTTTGACGAAGGTCTAATGAATTCTAATCTGCAAAAATTGCTAAAAGAAATTTTCCCTATTTTTTTACAAGCGGACCAGTCAGTTTAAGTAGTACCATTACAATTGTATTAACTTAGATTCTCTTATATTTCAGTGACTGGATTTACCCTGTGGGGGTCTGTATTGTCAGTTGGGATGATTGCTTCCTTTTACACATCTTTGGTAAGTATTTATCTTGTCTTATCGCTGAATATTTAAGAATTAATCGAGAAAGGAAGAGTGTAGCATAAAGCTTTATTGATTCAAGTAGAGGCGTGTCATTGTTAGAACCAACGCCCGCAGCTATAATTTTATAGCTAAATCTGTTTCGAATACAGTAAAGGATCCTGGGATATCATAAAAAAAATCAAGAAAATGCTTCAGTGAGGACTTTATATAAAAATCCGTTATGCTCCAGTTAAACCCACGCACACACAGATTCCTATAGCATATAAGCGAGCAGAATTATTTTATATAAGATCAGTTTTTATTCAGCTGCATAGCCCTATCCTGTCAGTAACGCATGAGTGAACTCCTAAACGCTGTCATTTCTTTCATTTTTTAACCTTTTATCATGTATTTCTTAGGAAAAACAAAACAATTACTATACATTTCTAATGTAAAATCATTTGCAATGCATTTCTGTGGTAGAGATCTATCTGTTATACATATAACCTTTTTGTATATGCCGTGTCCCTTCAGAACGTGAGCAGTCACGGCTCTCCACAGTTTCTTATCATTTTTGAAAAGTAAGAAAAGTTTGCCCCTTACTGTACCACCACTCCCTGTTCTACTATCTATTTTAGTCATGCCACTCGCTGTCCCCCTCTGTCTCACGTACCTTCAGTATGCCCTGGGAGTGTCAAATTTTCCAAGCCTTCTCTCCTCATTATGCCTCGGAAATGTCAATTGTCTCTTTCTGAATCAAAGCAGAAATGTCCTTTTTATTTCCATTTCCCTTAAAACACTCTTGTCTATCATATTCTCAACATCCTTCTGTAGAACCACATTTTTGTTACCTTAAGTTTCCTCTTCATTGTGTGTGTGTGTGTGAACTTATTTAAAATCTCTAAAGAGATCAAGAATGTATGGTTGTTAGCAAAAGGGAGAGCCCAAGATGATGCAAGCCAAAAATTGAAGACGTCAAAATTAAGCAAGTACAAAACTTGGCATTGTTAAAACTGAAGACGGAAAATTTGACACTGAAATCCGAAGACACAGTGCGATAGCGAATCTTTCAGATTCAAAAAGACTTCGTCGGAAATAAACAACTCAACTCTTACATAATATCAGTCCTTTTATATGGCAAGTAATGCGGAACAATTTGAAGATGAAGATGAGATCTTAGACAACAGAAATATGATTCTGTAGAAGGACGCTGATAATGCCATGAACGGAATATATGGGAGAAGTTTTTAAGGTAAAGTGGAAGCAAAATGGTGCTACTTGAGAATGTGATCCCCCTTCCGAGTCTGATCAACCAAAACAACGGATCACTAACGTATGTGATCTACGAGTTGGGTAAATTCTTTCCATTAAGATATACATTAAAAATAGATATATATATATATATGGGATAAGATAACAAGAAGTAGTCGTCTTTATTTAATATACTATAATGATATACTAATGGTTGGTCACTCGTGTCCAAAGTTACTAGTCTACTAGAGCAGCTAGTTAATCCACATTGCAGACGCCTGCTCAGGCAGATTTGTTCAACACCCACAGAGCTCAGCTGCGGTTCATACTGTGACTATGCTGAGTTGACCTTAATTACAGTTTTGGGGAAAGAATGCGTGATCAATAGTCCGGACAATGCCAGCACACTCAAACCCTCGGTCACGATGACTTATGACTTCGTGCTAGCACTACCATCGACGACCCTCATGGATCTGGGTCCGAATTTCACCATTCTCGATTCGTCAGGCAGGTGACTTCTTGATCCCAGCGTGTGGTATCTTTGGAAAGTGCCTGAAAAACCATACAACGTGTTAAACTAAGCCTTGTCAGTGAACTAATGATAAATAATACGATGTGATGATGATAAACAAAAATAAAGGAAATTATTATTTTAACTAATACCACCACCGTTATTCTTTTTCTTTTCATGTGCCATGGCATTTCAGGACGTTGGTGATCATGGCTCTCCACCACCCTCTATCCCTTGCAGCTCTCAACAAGTTCCTTCCCTCTGCTTCCTCCCCCAGAACACTTTTTGTCATCCACTTGCTCAAGATCGTTAGGTATGTCACGCGTTGTTTTCCCTTGTCTCTCTTTCCCTCTATTCGACCCGTGAGTATCAGATTCTCCAGGCCCTCCTTTCTCACTATGTGTTCCAGAAACTTCACCTGCCTCTTCCTGATATTAAGTATAAACCTCCTCCTTGTTTGTAACCTCTCTAAGACCTCATCGTTGCTCACACTCTGGGTCCATGATATACTTATCATCCTTCTGTAGAACCACATCTCCGTCGCCTCGAGTCCATCTTTGAGGAACTCGTCCAACATTCGCTGCCATAAAGAAGGAGAGATGTCACGCGTTGTTTTCCATTGTCTCTCTTTCCCTTTATTCGACCCGTGAGTATCAGATTCTCCAGGCCCCCCTTCCTCATTATGTGTTCCAGAAACTTCAGCTGCCTCTTCCTGGTGTTAAGTACAAGCCTCCTCCTTGTTTGCATCCTCTCTAAGACTTCATCGTTGCTCACACTCTCGGTCCATGATATCCTCAGCATCCTTCTGTAGAACCATATCTCCGTCGCCTCGAGTTTCTACTTCATCTTTGAGGAGATCGTCCAACATTCGCTGCCGTAAAAAAGGACAGATGTCACGTCACAGCTCAGTATTCTTTTCTTTGTTACCAAAGAAATCCTCCTGTCTCGCAATACTCTGCCCAGCTTTTGGAATGCGTTCTTAGTCATCCCAATACGTCTACGGATCTCAGTGTCGCACTTACCGTTCTCTGTCAAGACGCTTCACAGATATTTAAACTTCCGCATCTGCTTGATTCTAGTCGAACTTCAGATCGCATTTCAGGCTCATCCTCTTACTGATGACCATACACTCTGTCTTCTTGTAGTTTATGCTTAGTCCTTTCTTCTCACTCTCTGTCACTGCCTTTCATTCAGAGATGCAATAAATAAATTTTGGTCATAGGTCTGGTCTATATGCCAAATCCACCGGAAGCCTTCATTCACTTTGTGCTACTTAGGTACTACATAACTAGTGTTGTTCATGTAGATAATTTTCTTTAAGGTTGATCGCATATTTCATAAGAATCGTGCACGTAGCGTCACATAAAGTACGGTTATATTTAGAATCAGATGGAGATCGTTGGAATTTTTGGAGAGGAGAGGTTGGAGAATGTGACACTCACGTGGCTCACTGGGTAAATGGATGGGAAGGATAGTAGGGGACAAACATTGCTTAAAGCTACAAAGTTGTGGAGAGTCGACTATGTCTTGAAGGGACATGGCACGTCGAAGAAGATCATTAATAGTGCTTAATGTCCTATTCTGAAACTGTAAAGATATACAAAGCTCATCATTCCAGCTAGTATTATTTTTTTATTTATAATTTGAAGTGTTTGTTTTGCTCTTGGTTTTAAAAATTCGAGCGTGATAGGAGTTTTTTTTAGGTGCTTGGAGTTGCTTCAAATGTTGCTTTTAGGTTCAGGAGTTTAACATATGTTGGCGGGGACAGACATGAATAAACTATTGTTGTTCAAAATTTAATTATTGGGCTTTTGTTCAAGAAGCCCTTGTATTTTTCTTCATTTTTTTTTTTTTTTTTTTTGTTAATAGTTACCCAGGTAGGTCAGTTGAAACAAAATAGAAAGAAAGAAAGAAAGAAAAAAAGAAAGGAAGGAAGAAAGAAAGAAAGAAAACAAAAGAAAGAAAGAAAAAGAAAAAGAGATGTGAAAGAAAAAGCAAACAAGAAAAGAATTGCCTGGGCGAGAAAAGGAGGTCGTATGGTAACATATGTTCGTACAGCATGTGTTGACGAATAGTTGAGTGACGTGTACCAGTTTTTCAGTCTTTCCAAAATGAAAGGGACCATGAGTCAGAGAGAGCTTTTGTGTAATTTTTGTTTTTTCAAAATGAACTTTCCTAATTAGTTCATCATTAAGATCGTTCAAATAATAATAATAATAATAATAATAATATGCTGGATATTTTTTGTATGATCACCGAAGTTAAGCAACGTCGAGTCTGGTCAGTACCTAGATGGCTGACTGCTTGGAAATGCCAGGTGTTGGAAGCTTAGATGTGGTGTTATGGATAACGGCTCGGAATTGTTAATCGGCGAGCCGTGTTCCAATTCCCGTTGGGTTCGTTAAATTCGCTTACACGCAAATACCCTTATGATCTATGAATCCACCTCTTCTCCCCACAAAACTATAGGCTAATTAATAAGACTTGTATCACTAAAACATTACTATCTAAAAAAAAAAAAGAATTTTTACAATCTAAAAATATTTTCTGGCTCTGAATAATGCACATAGAGTTGATAAGCCGTAAAAAAAAAAACAAGTCAATAAATGAATTAATGTAATATCTATAAGTTTTTGATGCTCTAAGGTTATCACCCTTGCACTAGCGATTTATTTATATTTATACAGTTAAATATTTTCTTAGGTGCAGAAGATGATAATATGGCAATTAAAACAGACATACTTTGTTGAAGAGGAAATTTCATATTTTCCATAAACGGCAAGTCGAAAACAATAGAAAAGAAAAACTTAATGATTTATTTTATTTTATGTAAGATCACCCCAGAAAGGTACACAAATATACGAGTTTTGGTTGATTGTAGAAGAATTAAACAGCCTTCTTTACAACGACGAGCAATGTGCATTTCAACAACCCCCCCATAAAAAAAAAACCCCTAAAACTTAAGGAAGGAACCAGTAGAAAATTCAATTGATACAAATCATGATAACAGAACCTGAAGAAGGATTTAAACTGGTTGAAAAAATTTAACTTTTGATTTATTTGTTTAACGGCATATCAACTCCTTATGCGTCATTTAATACGGAAAGTTAATTTTCTTGCGAGCTTTGAAGCAATAAAATACGATATATGTTATTCTGCTTTCATAATTGATTACATGGTAGATGATACTCAGCTTTTGTGCATATACATGTTTGTATGGACATAATTACTAGAGGCGGTGATATGTGTGTTTTATGTTGTAGTTTTGTTGAAGTTATATTTTGGAATAAAGTTTGATTTAAGGAATTGTATGATATTATATGGATTAATATCATGAAAGTATTCTTTCTTGTTAATTGAAAGCAATTGTGTTGTTAGTAATTTTACTACATGTTATAGCAATTTACCCACGCACGCTTTCACTCTCCAGCTATAAATAGGAGCAGGTACTGCCTTTTAGAGAGGGAAGTTTCCAGCAGTCAGCTTTGACAGTCGGACCGAACATTCTTGCTCTCGTTTGTATATGTTTGTATTACTGTTTTCTGTTAATATATTTGTTTAACTCAATTCTTCGCTTGTGTCTTTATTTCTGGTCCGAACAAGGCCACAACACTATAAATATATATTGTTGGTAATTTTCATAGTGTTTTGTTTTTGTTCAGAGGTTCACTAATTGTTCATAGCACGGACCCTAACAGGTGCTGCCACCGAGGGTCAGGGTGAATCTGGGAACAGCAGCAATCAAGAGGTAGTTCCACGATGCTAAAAAACCTCCAATCTCCCGATCAGAGGCCCTTGCAGTTGGATGTAGTTTATCGTCATACCCAGGACGCAAATATTTCGGAAAATGCGTGTGCTAATTATAGAAAGGATATACAGGTAGCGTAACCGTTATGGACACGGAGAGTGAAATCAACGAACTGAGTTCAAATCTCCGGTCAGCCTGTTGCGTTCAGTTTCGCACAAATACTCTTGGGAAAGGCTTGGACCTATCATTGGGCTCTCTAGCACTGGGTGGCAGCAAGACTAAGATGAGGAAAACTCTAAACTCCGAGCCGCTCAGAAGTTAACCGAAAACCATTCCACTATCTTTTCCAAGAATGCACAGTAATTCACAAATAATAAAAGAAAGGAAATTATGGAGAGTCATGATCGCCTATGTCATGAAGGAACACGGGATCAAAGAAAGTTATATTAAATCTTATAACGAGAGAAAAAAATTCAACTTTGGAGAAATATTTTCACCAGAAATATATTAGTTATGATGCCATTTTGAAATAAATAAGAAATGCCATATACATTATTAGTTTTTAAACTTTTGGTATAACAATGAATGTCGCATCATTAGTAATGATCAATTAATATTAATTAATTAATTAATAATTAACTAGTAATGGGTTAATTGCTATCCCATGATCTTCATTTACCTCCTCTTTCTTTCATAATCACACACCTCATTCATCATAACCATTTTAATATTAACCCTCTACCTTGAATGGCTCTCGTGACTAGTATAGGGTGAGCTTTAGTATAAAGAATAGCTTTTGCAAGCTATGATGTTATTGAACGTTTCACTTTGTCAAATCAGTTTTACAACCCATTTTAAAGCTCTAAGCTCGGAACGCGGCCATTAAATTTAGACTTCAAAGTCCACGATGCCTAGTATAGATGATAACTATGTGTTTACAACTAGTCATAATAGAGCGATTTTCACCCTGACTGCTCATAATTTTGCAAGTAATTCTTTAGATTTTAATAAGTGATTATTTTAAACGTAGATAAAGCTGTAAAGCCTATTCTTTTTCTTTACACATGGAAATAGTATTGGCAAACATAGAGAACGTGAGACATGCAGAATTTATACAAGAAAGGAAGAGAGTGGGCAAAAACGTAGAAACTATGAAAGAAACGTAGAGAGAATGCAAGAAACGTAGATGGAATGAAAGAAACATAGGGGAAGGTTAGAAACGTAGAAAGTATACAAGAAATGTAGAAAGTATGCAAAAAACGTAGAAAGTATGCAAGAAACGCAAAAGGAATGCAAGAAGCGTAAAGTGTAGGCATGAAAGGTAGCGTGAAAGCATGAAACAGAAAATATGCAAGAAACGTAGAATTAATGCAAGAGACATCTAAAGTATGCAAGAAATGTTGAGGGAAGGCAAGAAACGTAGAAAGTATGCAAGAAACGCAAAGGAGAAGCAAGAAGCATAGAGAGTAGGCATGAAACATAGAGAGAAGGCAAGAAACATAGGTGGAAGGCAAGAAACGTAGAGAGTAGGCAAGAAACGTAGAGGGCAAGCTAGAAATGAACAAAGTATGCAAGAAAAGGAGAGGGAATGCAAGAAACATAGAAAGTATGCAAGAAACGTATAAATAGGCAAGAAACGTAGAGGAAAAGCAAACAAGATAGAGAGAAGTCAAGAAATGTAGAATGTAGGCAAGAAACGTAGAGGAAAGGCAAAGGACGTAGAAAGTAGGCAAGGAACCAAGAGAGAATGTAAGATACGTAGGGGGAATGCAAGTGACATAGGAAGTAGGCAAGAAAGGTAGAATGAAGGCAAGAAGCGAATAAAAATTTGAGCAAATGAATTGCGAAAAGCTAGACTGGTTTGTCTTGGTTTATTTTGTTTTAAGGCATATCAACCTCAATGGGTTATTTAATGCCGACCAAATTTTTTATTGCTGGTAATATGTTTTGCCAAAAATCTGTTTCTGACAATATTTTTCCTTCAAAATTTGATTACTGGTAATAATTTTTTTCAAAAAAAGTATTGCTAGTAATAGTTAACTATTTGTTCATAGCTGGGACCCTAACAGGAGCTACCACCCCGGGTCAGTTTGAGCCTGGGAACACCAGCAATTAAGAGGTAATCCCACGCTCCTCAAAACCTCCTGATCAGAGGCTTTGCTGCTGGACGTAGTTTATCGTCTTACCCAGGACGCGGATTTAATTTAACGTCTTATCCAGGACGAAAAAGCTGGACTGATCTCTACTTACTTATTACTACTCTACACATGCCGACAGATTTTTAAAGATTATATTTTGTCAAGTCGTTGTTATTATTATTGTGATAATAATAATAATAATAATTATTATTTTTATTAATATATTTTTTACGTGTTTTTAAATATATTTTAAGTTATTTTTCTTGTACTCTGCTCATTGCTGAAGTCTTTTTTCAGTTACGAGCTCAGAAAACCTCTTGGTTGGTTATATCGATCCACCTCAAATTGTCAGTTCATAAATCGAGATATACGTCGCGTATTATATACGTCCATTTTTATGTTTATACATTCTTTTTTATAGATACAAATATTTAAGTTCAGATGTTCTGTTTATAATAAACAGTCAACATTTTCCGGTCTGAATGTCCGAGAAACTTTCATCACAGGAATCGAACCTGTATCCTAACGGAACCGTCATATCGATGCGCACCGATATACGTCGTTTTTAAACGTATTATATGCGTCGAAATTAAACAAATTTTAAATAATGAAATGGACATTTTTATGTTTTTGTTTATACATTCTTTTTTATAGATACAAATATTTAAGTAAATGCCCTGTTTATAATAAACAGTATTAATAACATTTATCGGCCTGAATGTCCGAGAAATTTCATAGAAAATATCTTCCGAAAGGAATCGAACCTGTAGCCTATACGGAACCGTCATATAGCTTGACGTGCCTTTAACCGATTTCGCCGATTTTACCGATATGAATGTACGTGAGAGAATCATGGAAGATTGTAGTTTAAAAACAGTAAGATCGACCTTGCTAACCGAACGCTCCTCTGTGGAGAAATTGGTAAAAGCACGTCAGGCTATATGACGGTTCCGTATAGGATACAGGTTCGATTCCAGCCGGAGGACGCATATTTTCTATGAAAATTTCTCGGACATTCAGGCCGGTAAATGTTGTTTAATACTGTTTATTATAAACAGAGTATTTACTTAAATATTTGTATCTATAAAAAAGAATGTATAAACATAAAAATGTCTTAAATAATTGTCGGGCTTTGTCCATTTCATAATACGTAGATTAGTATAAGGTTGTTAAAATTATGGGATTGAATTGTTTTTATCCAGAAATTCATTGTAACTTTTCAACTGCTCTGCCTCCCGCTCCGCTTCTTCTTCCTCCTCCTCATCACTGTTTTTTTCTTGTTCTTGTCAGGGTGGTATGAAAGCTGTATTGTGGGCCGACACCTTCCAGTCCAGCCTCATGATTTCCGGTTTAATAATGGTACTAGTGATGGGAAGCCGTCAAGTTGGTGGTATTCAAAACGCCATTGCTGTTGCTGATATCAACCATCGACTTTATTACAGCGAGTGAGTTTATTCTTTTTTTTTTTTTTTTTTGTTAATTTATTTCTTATTTTATCTTTTGACGTAAGTAGGTCAGGAATGGAACAAAGGAAATTCCCTGGAGAAAAAAATGAATACAAAGCTCGAATTATCAAATGGGGGAGATTACGTAATTAGCATCGTATGATATAAGTAACGAAAGCGTTAATTAACGTCCTTTGGCGCTAACCTTGTCTGTCGCTTATTCAAGGGCCCAAACTTGATCATTTTAGATACCGCTACATATTTACGACGTGCGGTGCAGTGGATATCAGCCCAGAATGAGAAATCGGAGAGCCGAGTTCGAATTCTAGTCGAGTTTGTTACATTCACTAACGCAACAAATCCTCTTGGGAAAGATGTAAATCAAATTATTCTCCTCCTATCTATCGGTTGAATAAGACAGATTGGGTCCTATAGACTAGCTTGACAACCAGTCTACCACAGAAAGAGCAACCTGCTGTGGAAAAACCTTCTGCTGAATCAGTCATGAATCAAGATTGCCCAAGCGTGTATCACGTATGGCACTTAACTGATATATTTAAGATGTAGCATTCTAACATACTCCTAAATTGTCTTCCAACATATCTTCTCTTATCCCATCGAAAGTTATTACTGAGATGACAGCTTCAGAAGAATGTAAAGACGTTTGGATTCATATTTCCGAAGATGGTGTTATATGACGACACTGGTGGTTCCGTTTTTTCTAATGACTACGTATTCAATGTACAGCTAGTGTAATGGAGAGTGAATTAGAATGAGAAGTCGGCGAGTTGAGTTCGAATTCTGGTCGAGTTCATTGCACTCACTTTCGCAAAAAAGTGTGTATCACCAAACTATGGGTTAAATAACAAGGTAAACTTAGCTTCTTTAAGTAAAAAGTCTAATTAGATATTATAGAAACATACCATTAAACAAAAATGGCTATCTTAATGATTATTGGATTTTGAAAATAAAATATTACTTTTTAGTGAAAAACACATTTATTTTTACAGCGAGTGTCTGTTAACCATCAACTCTTCAAATGTCAAATGGGTATTGAGTCAGCTTTTCCTAACCATATATGTTGAAAGCCAGTTTACGTTTGCTTTCAAAGGACAACTAAAGTACGGATGACCGAAAATGACAAAATCCTGTTATTATTCACAATGTATAGAAAACAACAAAAGTATATTTTTACCATTAAGACACTGTTATATGACGTACAAGTGAGTCGACAATGTTAAATAACAGTTTAGCAGACTATTATTTTTAGGGGGAATGCTATCTCTGCTCAGACTTCTTGAGATTGACCTTTGGGGTCAGATGGAAGACAAAATAAGGAAGTCGATATTGATACTGAGCCAGCGTGGGAATGATAGAGATATTAAGGTTTTACAGTGAGTCAAGTTTTAACCGTTTAACAATGTACATGTGTTTCCTTTCGTGTCTGAAACGGCTCCCCATTGGAAGGGAGGGCGACCCCGCTTGATACATGATGATTTTGTTGATGACTTTCATTTCTGGGACCTAAACACATTTCGCCACCCAGCCAGGAGAAGACGAGATAGATAGATAGATAGATATAGATAGATAGATAGATAGATAGAGAGAGAGAGAGAGAGAGAGAGAGAGAGAGAGAAGATATGCAACAACCGTACTTTTAATCATTGTGTCAATGTGAACGATCCAGGACTGCATACAGTTTTGAATTCAGAATTTTCATTCTTCTAAAGGGGTTGTTACCCAAGGCTATAGAACACTGTCTGTCCTGCTATTTACCCATAGCTGGGGAAAGAATAGATGGATTTTTACCTTTCCCAACGGTATTAGTACGTAAGTAAATGTAATGATCGTAATTGAAATTCGAACTTGGCTCTCCGATTCCTCAATTCGAGCCGTAATCCATTACTCTATCCTACCACACCAGTAGAAATAAAGAAATGTCATTTATGAGGTAGATAATATTTTGTTATTAATTCTAATGCATTACTAAAATATCATATTTTCCACTGAACCACATGAACTTGTACAAATACGAGAACTAATGCAGGCGACCTGTTTCTCTATCAACCTTGTTCTTTCATTTCGCCGATACCCATATCCGTTCCGCTTTTTGTATTAACTGTTATTTCGAATTCGACCAATATGGCTTTCGGATAAACAATGAAGAAAATACACTGACGAAAAATAGATTTAAAAAAATCTATTTTCTGTCGCTTTGGCGGATTGATAAAAACAAATATAATAAATAATACAAGATTTGTATTCTATAACAGTAGACAGCAGCAGCAGCAGCAGCAGCAGGCATCGTTTATCTAGTGAGATAAAGGTAGCGCCCTGTTTGGTCAAAATTCAATCATTTGGTGGTGAGATTAAAAGTGACCTCTCCATGACACAAGGTTTGGTGAGAGTATATGATGGCCGAGCGATGCCCAGATTAATTGCCCCACCCCTTTGACTGTACCGACAAGATCCAAAGAAATTCATGGCATTATATTTGAGACCAGCTTGGCTGCAGGAGTTGCCTAGAAATTTAATAGTGTTGACAGCCAACCGCCTTCGAGGCTCCACTCCTGGTTTTCTGTCTGTATTTACTTTTCCGTGTTTGGATGAATATGACCGCAAGAGAGCAGTGGTTTAAAATGAGGATTTGTCTTCCCCTAGATAGACTGCTTTCCTGGACTGTCAAGCTACATCTATTCAAATAAGCTGGTCATGAAGCGATAGTTGTCCGCCTTCGCCCATTAGAATTAGTGGTTTTGTGCATTCAACATTTTATATATATGTATTTTTTTAAGCGTTTCACCCCAAGCAAAGCGGGAAGCCACTAAGACACAAGGGGTTACAGAAGATTTGGAGCAAGATCAGATAGGAGTGATAGAGGAAAGGATGAGGAGAAGGATAGTGGATAGATCAAGACAACTGGAGATGTCGATTGACATTACATTTGAATAGTTGGAGATTATAGCTCTCAGGGAAATTGGAATAGGGAAGGGAGTTCCACAGGCGAGAGGTGCGATATATGAAGCTATTGGAGTAGAAGAGACGGCTACATTTAGTAGTTTCGACAGTGAAAGGGTGAGAGCGGGATGCCAGCCTCGTAGGGCGCTTGAATTCATGAAGTCTGGGAACCAGCGAATGCAGCTCCTCGGAGCAATTACCATGAAAGTATTTGTAAAAAAAAGACAGATAGAGGCGACGGCGCGTCTGTAAGAGAGCGACTGTAGACGAGATGTTAGAATAGGGCCAATTATATTGCATATCCGCCTCTGGATCTTATCAAGAACCCCGAGACAAACAGAAGGGTCTCCAGACCATATATATTTAAAATACTGTTAATTTTGGGGGGCTTCTAAAACACGTAATGCTTATAATTTTATATACGTACATTATATATGTTCCAAAGGTTATCATAATCGTGGGTGAGAGTGGGGACAAGCTCCCACTGTCTATAAAATGCTTCCGTGGGGTGCGTCTTAAATAGTCTCTGACATCTAAGTTTTATTCTATAATGGGCTTAACATGGAGAAGACAGTTTATTTTGTGTTCGTATCAGGCATTAATTTTTCTTGTATTTATATTTTTGGTGAAGTCATAGAAATTAATCGAATGCGAAAACGTTAAGAACAGGAAAAGATGAAAAAAAAACACCAAAACTTAACATAATATATAAAGACAAATTCTGTAAAAACTACATTTTTTATTTTAAATTTTCTTTTTCTTTTCTTTATGATTTTACAGTTTCACTTTCGATCCACACGTTCGACATTCAATCTGGACTTTTATGATTGGTGGAGGATTGTTGTGGGCGGGAATCTACGGAACTAATCAGGCTCAAGCACAGAAAGCGTTTTCCCTGCCAACGCTGAGAAAAGCACAGATGTAAGTAAAACTCACAATAGAGAAAGCCAAGTAAGTAAATAAATCTCGATAGATGAAATCATTGCCGAAAAATGTTTTGTTTCCAAGGCATGCTTGACGGTCAGGTGATGTTCGGCTTTGTGACTTTTATTTTTAATGCTTTTAATATTTATTTTTAGAAGTAGTTTATGAATGAATAGCGAAGTTATTCATTGATATCCCAATTCATAGACATCCAGTAAGCTCACCTACGTCTAATACAGGACCAGATGAATGAGTAGGAAGACTACATAACTTACACTTCGAGGTGGAGAGAAAGGACATCTTTGAATGAAAAATAGTCAATTAAACATCTGGTTGTATTTGGCTTTTAAAAACAGTAGCTTGATAGCTAAATACGGCAGTCCGCCATTGGCTGTGAAGATAGTACTGTATTTACTATTAGCGCTAGTGGTTAGTTCCTCAAGTCCAATAGGAGAGGACATTTTGAAAGCTAAAGATCATGAAGACAGGTTAAGGAATTTGCTGTCTGGGGAGAATTTGGAATCATACATGTTGTTATCCATTGAAAAGGAATTTGTTAAATGAATTGAATGTAGAAGCAAATATTGGAAGATTCACACAATTATCTGGTGAACACACAAAAAAGTGAGCTTAATATAGTGGACTGCAAGCAATGCTGTATTGTGCTTCCGAAGTGTTAATATGTAAATCGTGCTGTAAACTATTTTAAAATATTAACCAATTATTTAAAATTAAAACAATTAAAAATATTAAATTATAAAATTCTGTATTTCCATTTAGTATCTACTGCCAGTAATTACTAAAAAATGCAACATATTTCGCTCAAAAATTTTATTTGCACCATTTTTTTTCCCATATGTATTTCTTTTAACTTTATTTATCCGTTATGAAAATTAAATGATATCATTGTAGTTGTGGGTGGACGCCTTTTGTCTTCTGGCAACCAGTATTTTCAGACCCAGACTGCCACTGTTAAAATCCAATTCGGCCTAAATATCTTCCGATGTATGACCGTTTGTGCTTACCTCCTAGAATAAATAAACAAACAAATAAAGAAAGAAAGAAAGAAAGAACTAGAGAAATAAAGAAAGAAAAAGAAATAAAGAAATGAATAGAGAAAGAAAGAAATAAAAAAGAGACGAATAACGAAATAAAGGAAGAAATGAATAAAGATAAATAAATATATAGATAAATAAATTAAGAAAGAAAAATAGAGAAAGAAAGAAAGAATGAAAGAAAGAAAGAAAGAATGAAAGAAAGAAAGAAAAAAAGAAAGAAAATGAAAGAAAGAAAGAAATAGAGCATGAAGGAAATAAATAAAGAAAAAATTTATATGAATAAATTAATATGGATGCGCGAGTCGCGTAATGGTTACTGATGTGGAAAGTGGAATCAGCGTACCGAGTTCAAATTCTGACTAAGATTTTTTCGTTCCCTTCACGGTAATGCCCTTTGAAAATCGATCTTCCACTAGCTATAAGTTAAGTGACAGATGTGACTAGGCTCTATTCCCTTGGGTGACAACTAGTCTAGTCGAAGGTGAAACACTGAATTCACCCCCACCCCCGTAAATAATAACGTAGACTCGGCTCATTAGCCTTGGTAGAGTAGTTAACGGGATTTTGAAGGTGAAGAAAACCTGTAAATTCAAAATCCCGTTAATAATAAGGTAAACTATGATCATTAGCCTTGGTAGGTCAACAAGTTTGAGAGAAGAAAATGCCAAACCTCTGTAAATAATGTAGACTATATTTATTGGTTTTGATAGAGCAACCAATCAAGGAGAAGGAAAACCAGCCTGACTATGGATGGTCTCCGTCATGCTATATTGCACAAGGTTTACCGTCTGTTATTACAGCCGCTGTATATATTGTGCTCCAGTGACCCGAATGTCTTATGGCACACATTATAATGAAGCAAAAAAAAAAAAAAAAATAAATAAAAAGCAGGATATTAAATATTTTACCAGATTTGCTACAGTGTGTTATTTTTGAAAACCCAACACAAGCAAATATTCAGTTTTGCTGTGTACGACATTTTGATTGAAAAACAGTCAATTAAATATTTGGCTTTTAAATACAGGTCAGTAGCTTGATAGCCCAATATGACAAAATTGAATTATCCAACAAATCGACTTAAAAATTTAGATGTATGCCAATTTGATGGAGAAAGGAAATTAAGAAATATGTGGAAATGAATGAAAAATAATTCTTAAAAATCATTTCAACCTAAGCAAGGCAATAAAGCCACTAAAACATCACTAAAATGCAGGAAAAATTATTGGCCCTCTTGTGCCGCTCCAGTAAGTACCTGACTCATCATGCTATCGTCTACCTTTACAAGAGCCAGATTAGTCCGAAAATGGAGTACTGTTGCCATATTTAGGCAGGAGCTGCTCAGACCTCACTTTCCAGTCTTGATAGTGTTCAAAAGTGTCTCCGAGTCCTTGACGGAGAAGAATTATTTTCCACACTCTAACCTCTTTCTCACAGGCAGAACATGGCGGGTCTCTCACTGCTCTATTGTTAATACCATGGGAAGTGCTCGGACGAACTGCATCGCCTGGTTCCACCAGGTCTGACCTTCACGGCTAGGACCCGCGATGTCACTTACATAGTAAAAAACCACCAACATTCCCTTCGTATACCATCGACGAGAAGTAAGTTCTACGCAAATAGCTTCTTCCCACGAACCACTGCCCTATAGAACAGACTTCCTAGGGTATGTTTCCTCGATCACTATAAGCTTAACCTGTTTAAGTCTAGAGTCAACCGTTATCTTCCTCTCTTATCCGTATAAACTACCCCATATTGTATGCCTCTACATCGAGTACTGGGTGAACCTTACTGAAAAAAAAAATCACAAGGGGTTACTAAGTGTGAAATAATATTAGAAAAAGACACTATTAAGGAGAAGGAACAAAAAAAAACATGAATTTAGAAGACAGAAGATAACGATTGAAATTGCATTTAGATTTTTGAAGATCAAAGTTAACTGCTTAGATATAATTCAGAAGGGAGTTCCATAAACGGGAAGTACGAGAAAAGAAACTGTTAGCATAGAATACATCTAGTCATTTCTACAGTCACCATAATACCGCAAAGTCTCTATATAGTGTTAACTAGTTCTCATATGTACAATTTGTTTGTGGGGGTGGATAACAACATAGCATAAAGAAAAGTTCATCAGAAAAAATTACTGTAAAAGTATTTATAAAAAAAGTCATAGTGAAGTGACTGACATTACAGTGATGGGAAAGTGACTGAAAACAAGATGCTTGCTCAGGGCTAATAATATTGCAAATTCTTCTTTGGAAGTGGGAAATACTTGTAATAAAATTAATCGAATGCGAAAAGGTTAAGAACAGTGAACTGTTGAAGACTTGTGAAAAAACAAAACTGAACAGATTTATATAAAGTGTAACTCTGTAAGAGCTGGTTTTTTTTTTTAATATAAACTTACTTTCTTTTCATTAAGAGTTTCACTTTCGATCCACACATTCGTCATTCAATCTAGACCTTCCAATAGTTTTATCTTCAAAATATTTGTATTATTATTAAGAGGAAAGACCAGGGAATTTTTTCATTAAAAATTAATTTTTTAATCCATTTCAGAACCTGCAATATTTTGGTTAAAAAGTACAGTAAATTCAGCGTCTTTTTGCGGGGAAAAAGACATTAATTTGGAAATTCTTGCAAAATATCAGATAATCGTCGGATTTTAATTTATCCGCCAGAACTTATTCAGAAATGAAATGAAATTATTTTTTAACCATTTCTTTTTTGAAAAACGCAAAAATATTAGAATGCTTAAAATATTAAATTCTAAATATTAGAAACTCAATATAAAATTATATATATATATATATATATATATATATATATATATATATATATATATATATATATATTGTGTGTGTATTTAGGCAGCATCTTTTCATTTATACACGTTTCATTAAATAATATAGACAAGCGTTGTCTATTTATTTTATGTAAACTCTTTTCATAACGTCTAATAAGTTTAATAACATTATAATTGAACGAAGAAAGAAATTCACAATATTGATCCATATTTTTTTAATACAATCTAAGCTTTCAGCTTACATAAGCCATTATCAAAGATGTCAATTACAACATATTAAGCAATATACGGACAAAACAGTGATGACAGTCTGTAATTGTTTACATAGATGATCTCTAAGCAACGATAAACACATGCATATAAGACGCTAGAAGCGAAAATCGCACCGCATCTCATGACGTCACACATGACCACACGAGAGTGAATTGGAGAAGTATGAAGTATGGAAAGCTGTTGGCACAAACCAATGGCCTCCGTCATCAACTACAAACATTTAAGGATATTTGTAGAGATTCCATAGTTGATTTTGTTTAGGTTGGGTTTCAACTGTTTAATGTATAATGCTTCAAGGATTTTTAGTTTTTGTCTATTGTTTTCATGTCGAAGTATAATTGTGTCTTCGACAAGTATTTTACGGAATTGTGTGTGAGGGCAGGCATGTTGTTTTAAATGCCTAAAAATGTTGTTCACACCACAAACTCGCTTTCACAACGCTTGACACTACATTGGAATGAAAACTCTAACATTCAGAGTCAGTCATGGGCTTTTCTACACTCCTAATATTGACTTAAGAAGTTCTGGTATTTTAAAAAATTTGATTCCATGTAAATAACGAAAATGCTCTTTTATGTCGTTGCAGTGCCATTTGGTTGAATTTTCCTGGATTGATATTCTTCTTGTTTCTTTGTGGATTCCTTGGTATCATCATGTACGCCTTTTACAGTTCCTGTGATCCAAAGTCCTTCTCATTGATCAGCGCATCTGACCAGGTGCGTATATTTTGATGTGTGCGAGAGCGCGCGTGTGTGTTTTTGTGGGGGCGGGCTTTACTTAAGTTAAAAAAAAAACATAAGTAAATTAAAGGAAATTAATCTTGACGCTAATTCAGAACGAATTCTATTTAGTGTTTGAAATCTATCAGTTTTCATTTACACAATAGAAATTTAAAATCTTCAGCTGATCTTTTAATAATCACTATATCTCAAACGTGTATATATATATATATATATATATATATATATATATATATATATATATATATATAAAAAGTAAATAGGTAACTGGAATCTTTAAGAATATTTATGTAGAGTAACTTTCTATTAATAATGACGAGTACTCTCATAAGAGCAGAGTTTCTTTAATTCTTGCAGTCTTTTATTCAGGATTTCATAATTTGAGGCGACTGTGGAAATTCTTCTCGCGAGATTCAATGAAAAATTACCAAGTATTATTTAGAATATGTTAGCGTTTGATATATATATATATATATATATATATATATAAATTATAATAATTTATTTAATAATTATTATAATTTAAGCTCTTCTTTTATATTGAGCACTGTTTTTTTTTTTAAAATAAAAATACTAAAGAAATTCGGATTATTTACCTAACGTGTTCTTTCCTATTTTTCTATATATCTGCACACACACACACACACACACACACACACACACACACACACACACACACACACACACACACACACATATATATATATATATATATATATATATACATTAATATGAAAAAGTTGTTTCGCTTAACTCATGCTTACTTCGAAGTTTCGTGATCACATAAGATGTGAGCTCATCGGAGCGGAGTTGGACGCGATATCTCTTATCACCGATACTGAGCACTCGAACTGCTTGCCTTAAATACCCTCCCTATCAGCAAACCACTAAAAAAAAACAATCTTTCAAATTAACACTATCCGTCTATCTCTCTCTCTCTCTCTCTCTCTCTCTATCTATCTATCTATCTATATATATATATGTGTGTGTGTGTGTGTGTGTGTGTGTGTGTGTGTGTGTGTGTATATACACACACATACACGCACAAAAACACACACATACACACACACCTCCACGCACAAACATACACACGCATAAACACACACATACACACACACAGAGGCACACACGCACAAACACACACATACACACAGGCACACACATACACGCACGCACAAACACACACATACACGCACAAAAACACACACATACACACACACCTCCACGCACAAACATACACACGCATAAACACACACATACACACACAGAGGCACACACACACAAACACACACATACACACAGGCATACACATACACACGCACAAACACACACATACACACAAAAACACACACATACACACACACCTCCACGCACAAACATACACACACGCATAAACACACACATACACACACAGGCACACGCACAAACACACACATACACACAGGCACATACATACACGCACGCACAAACACGCACAAACACACACAAACACACACAGACACACACATACAGACACAAAGACATACAGACACAAAGACACACACACACACATATATATGGGGAAATTGTATGACAAGGTGGAGAAAGTTTACTTGTGACGCGTTACGTCATTCAGGATTTCATCGGGCTAAATTTCTTTTGTTGCTTTGATTTGCACATGCGCAGGAGCGAGTGATGCAATGGTTAGTTGATTATTATTATTTTTTTTTTTTTAGAACTTTTTTCAGTTTTTTCTTTCTAGCCGAATTCATTTGGAGTCTTTTCCTTTTTCTTTCCATCACTTTAGATATCCCACACTGTGATAATAGAAGATCTGCCAGGAATCAGAAAATGTTTTAAGAGCCACTGCGCAAATTTACTATAGACACACTCTAGACTAAATGTCTATAAACTGTATATGTCGTAGTGAATTGTTTTATCCTTCTCTCAGAGCAGCATTACACACACACACACACATACATACACACACACACATATATATATATACGTTTTTCTCAACAGTTTGGTACTGAATTTTATGCAGGCAGTAATCTTCAGGTGTACCGAACATTTTTATCACCAACCAGCACACATTGTGCAATATTTTATACATATATTCACACACACACACACACATATATATATAGTTAAACCTAGAGAGTCAGGCAAATCTACTTTGGTATTTTTGTCTGACTCTCTAGGTTTAATTAGGTCTGCTCTACTTAACGTATTGAGCACTTTATTTAGTTATTTTGCTTACTCGTATCGTTTTTTTTTTTTGTGGGGACTTTGGACTTTGGACTTGCATGCTAGATGATTATTTTCAGCTAACGTTCATGTTCTTTGTTCTTTCTTTTTTTTATACCTTTTTTCGCCTTCGGTATTGGTTTGATTAGTCGCAAATCAAGACACCGAAGATTTTCCGGACGAGTATAATTTCTTATACTTATAAGATTATTAGTACTACTAATATATATATATATATATATATATATATATATATATATATATATATATAAATATATATATATATATATATGATTTAGTTTTCGTTATGTTCACAATAAGATACTTTCATTGTTCCTATTCAAACCTTTAGTGTCTAATGACTGTTTATATACATATATATATATATATATATATATATATATATATATATATATATATATATAGAACTCTCCTGTGGTAGATCGACGCGGGAGGTTGGCCTGCGTCTACCAGGAGACCGTAAGTACAACTTGGCAGCGGAAAGAAGCGAGAACTCCCCGCCGGAGTTTCACACTAGGATGTATAAGTGCCTGCTCACTCAGTTCCTATTAGCTAAAAGCCAGACAACCGTGCACATATGATTTGATTATAGTGGTGAAGGTTTTGTGCAGAACCAACCACACTTTTTGAAGAGCCGAATACAGAGAGCTGATGCACCGTGTGTCACAAAGGTCCCCAAACGACCCTTCTCACGTTTTGAATTCAGAGTTGTCTTTCTAGACCAGCAGCCGTTCAAGGCTATAGAACCCAGTCTCTCCTGCTATTTAACCATTAACTGGGTGGTGTGAGGAGAAGAGGATTCATACCTTTCCCATATATATATATAAATATATATATATATATATATATATATATATATATATAGTGGGTAGTAAAAGTATTTAACACATCGCTTTTTTATAAATTTCACAATAAAAAATTGTTCAATTTAAAGTTACTTACTTTAAATATTTTAATGAACATTGTCTAACAAAATGTTATAGAGTAGTTTCACAGTGGAGGCTTGTATTTCACTAAGTCGGTCCTAAAATAGTTTCGACGTACAAAACGTTAGGAACTTGATATAATAGGTAATGACGCAGAGAAATCTAGTGGTGGTCGCTGATACTTTAATATCCGACTCACGGTCGTCCGACATCGACTCACTGAGCGATATTCAGTCACCGCCTCCCCTCCGAGTGCATCATGTGGCACAAGGCCGGTTTAACGTGGGATCTCCGGGCCCGTGGGCTCGACCAAAAACATGCCATTTTAAAACCCGTATAAACGGGTTCAGGGTCAGCTTACCTCCCTGAAAAAGAATCCGCCCTTCGGCGTAGCCTCGTTCGGGTTCCTCCCCGGCCGAAGGCAGAGAGTTCAACCGGTCAGCTGGTCGTCCGACTTCAGACTGAACTCAGACCGACCCACTGAGCGACTTAGCGACTGCTACTACTCCTATTTATTATAGGTGGGAGAGTCTATTAACAATAGAATAGGTGTGTTCCATTATAACACTAAACATCAAGGAAAATTGAAAATATTTTTTATGTATGTATGTATACATATATATGCATATATATATATATATATATACACACACACACACACACACATATATATATATATATATATATATATATATATATATATATATGTTGCTTTATCATTTCTATGATATATTGCTATGGTTGATTTTATGATATGCCACGCACACGATTATGACTGTCTGCAACCTCCTATCCTGTGTAGCTCTTAAAAAAATTTGTCTCTTTCTTGTCTCTCCAACTCTATGTCATCCATCAAGTTTGTTTGGTAATATACTCACTCTTTTCCTATGTCCCTCTTGCTTTTAAGATATCTTGTAGGGGTAATGAATAGCGGTTCGGATTGAGGAATCGCAGATCCGAGTTCGAATTACAGTCGAATCCATTACATTCACTTACGTGCTAATACCCTTGGGAAAGGTATGAATCCTCTTCTTCTTCCCTCAGCTGTGGGTAAATAGCAGGACCGACCGGGTTCTATAGCCTTGTATGGCAATTGGTCTACTGCAGAAAGAAATGGCAACATATTGCGGGAAAAAAATTGCCTCGTCAGTCATGAATCGAAAGATACGTGATCGCCTAAGCGTGTATCGCGCATGGCACATAATTGACTGAAGTGTCAAAATCTCCAAGTCCTCTTCTCTGATTTTGGGTCCCAACAATTTCAACTGCCTTTTTTTGATTCGAGGTAGAATTGTCTTTTTTATTCCCAATTTCGTGTCAAATTTTCCAAGACTTCTTCCTTAGGAATGGTAACAGTCTCTTTCTGATTCAAAGCAAATGTTTCCTTTTTGGTCACTTAAAACTTCCTCGTTGCTCACATGTTCTGTCTGTGGTATTCTCAACATCCTCCGGTTGAACCATATCATATTTGTTTCAAGTCTCCCTACAGGTAAGCCGCTACTCTCCCGCTGGTGGGCCGCCGATGGCATCGCCAAAAGTCCTCTGGAAGCAGTCAACGGTTGGCCACCGGAGGGCTTCTAGCGGTCCACCAGTGCCGAGACGAACAGCGGACCACCAGTGGCAAACGCTAGTGTCATGCCACCCAGTGGTAGATTCGTGGCTTGTGTGTCGGTCTCCTCTTCATCTGTGAGGTAATTGGCCAGCATTCACTGCCTTATAGCAGGATTGATATTTTACGTAGGAGTTCGGCGTTTTTTCTTTGCTTCTAATGCAATCTTCTTGTTTCTTAATACTTTGTTTAGTTTTTGAAAGGCATCTTATCTGCCCCCACCCAAATCAGATACGTATTCCAAGTATGTATTCCATGCTAATATGTTTTCTATCTCTCCTAAAACAAAACATTTGGGACCGTTGGTAAATAGTTAACCATGTCTTCCACGATTCAAACTATCTTCTTTTTTTTTATTTCCTCTAGTTACTTCCGTTACTTGTAATGGACACATTAGGTGATATCCCTGGAGTGCCTGGAATGTTTTTATCGACAATATTCAGCGGTACTTTAAGGTGAGTATAAATTTATTTTTCTCTTAGGTATCTAACAAGTTTAGAACAGTCTGACTCGAGATGATGTGTTTAGGGGACCTATCAACCTCCCTACATGATCACTAACCATTTTTTCATTGCTATCCAGCCTAAATAATCAGGCTTACGGTCACATCACGTTGAAACACAGGTTCTTTTACGATCAAAGAATTTAAGCGAGGTCGACCCTGGTTAGCACCTAGAAGGATGACCGTTTGGAAATATCAGGTGCTGTAAACATGGGTGTGTGGGCGGTGGAATGGATAATGACAACCGAAGTTCAATTCCCGTTCAATTCGTTATATTTACTTACACGCAAATACCCTTATGAAAGGTATGAATCCACCTTTTCTCCCTTCAGCTGCTGGTTAATTAGTAAGAATGGTATCACTAAAATCCTTATTAACTCCAACAATCTAAAAAAAAAAACAACTATTTTCTGGCTTTAAATAACCTGCAAAGGGTTGATAAGGCATAAAAAATAACGAATAAATCCTAAACATCATATTATACAGGCGCGCTTATGGTGATTTTCTAAGAGTATCTTAGATGTGGCACAAGGCCGAAAGTATGTGATGCCCAGTGAGGATCGAAATCATATATTCGGTCGTAATTTGGACAAGGTGGCTAATCGTTGCACCACATCGAAGTGCCCATAGAAGCGTTTATGATTACACAAGTGAGTACTTTTCTAAGTTTGTCGCCTTAGATATTTGTTAAAACTTTTTTTTTTGTCCAATTCAAACACACAGACACGAATATATTGACCTGCTAAAAGTCATGGGCTAGTTTTCTGCTATTTTATAAGTCCCTTTCTGGCCAAGTGACGTTTTGCAACTCGATGTGGCATCGATTCCACAAGTGATCGGAAAACTTCTGGAGTTCTTTTTTTGTTTTGTTTTTTTCACATGCTCATGAGTTCACCCTGACTGAAAAAAAAAAAACAAAAAACAAAACAAGCAAACAAACAAAAAACAATCAAACAACGAAACAAACAAACAAACAAATAAACAAACGTTCCGGGTCAAAATGTGTCAAGACATACAATCGGAAATATATTTTAACAGAGACTCCTCTCGGACATCCTTCAGGGCAACCACAGAGCAAATTAAAGGTCACATAAAAAAACCCAAAAAACCAAAAAAAAAAAAAACCAAAAAAACCCAAAATACAATCTTCACATGTTCGAATTAACCATCTCTTGATCATTTTTGTATACGTATGTACATATATGTAAAATAGCTTTAGGTCATGCATTCTTTCTTTCTTTCTTTCTTTCTTTCTTTCTTCTGTTCATTATCTATCTATCTATCTATCTATCTATCTATCTATCTATCTATCTCATTCCGTTCATATCTATCTATCTATCTATCTATCTATCTATCTATCTATCTATCTCATTCTGTTTCTATCTATCTCATTCTGTTTCTATCTATCTATCTATCTATCTATCTATCTATCTATCTATCTATCTATCTCATTCTGTTCATCTCTGTCCATCTATCTCATTGTATTTCTATCTATCTATCTATCTCATTCCGTTCATATCTATCTATTTATCTATCTATCTATCTCATTCTGTTTCTATCTATCTCATTCTATCTATCTATCTATCTATCTATCTATCTATCTATCTATCTATCTATCTATCTATCTCATTCCGTTCATATCTATCTATCTATCTATCTATCTATCTAATCTATCTCTATCTATCTCATTCTGTTTCTATCTATCTCATTGTATTTCTATCTATCTATCTATCTATCTATCTATCTATCTATCTATCTATCTCAATCTGTTCATATAAATCTATCGTTTTTTTCCCACCTTACATAATGTTAAAGTGTAAGTGTAGTTATTATATCCTATCTTTCAAATTCCAGTTCCGTAGCGACTGGACTGAATTCAATGTCGGCCGTGATTCTGCACGATTTCCTGCGCCCAGTATACATCACAAATATTTCCGAGGAAAGTACCACCAGATTTCTGAAGATTATTGGTAAGCAAGCCCTCTCACGTACATACTCCCCATTCCGTTTCAATTACCGTATTTATTCATTATGTAAATTGATCTCATGTATGTGTCGAGTCATGATGTTTGACCAAAATAGGTTAGCTTCCTGTTATGTTGTTATAAAGATTAGCAAACTCATATCACAGCATATGAATGTTTTATGGCGTTTGAAATACTGCGACAGTATTTTGAAATTTTGTTTCACTTGACGAGTTGTATTTTTTCTATATGAGTATACCTTACACCTCTCGCCTGTGGGACACCCTTCCCTATTACTGTTTCCCTGAGAGCTATAATCTCCAACTATTCAGATGTAAAAAAAAGAATCTGTACTTTCAACGAAAGTAAAAGGTGATATCAAGAGCTACTAAATTCCGATGACTTAGTAAAAATCAGGGATCTATTTAACACTGTATCGCTATTATAAACAGGACCGTCTTTCCAAATGATAAAAATCAAAATTTTTCGTTTCTTTCAAATGTCGCTTCTTGAGGAAAGTCTAAAGCAGGGGTTTCCAACCGTTTTATGCCTCGTCGTTCACTTTCACCTGGGAAACTTTTCTACCTCCCACCTGTATACTAAATATTCTAAGGCGTAAATGTTTGGTAAAAGTTTGTTACTGGTTCATAAACTGACTTTATGATGTAGCAAAATAATACTAAAGGGAGGTAACAAATATCGCTGATTTCTGCAACTGCAGCTGTATCAAAGGATAAACGAAAGCAAACTTGACCATTGAAAATTATATTTTAGTTTTATGTTAAAGGTTAGTTTTATGGTTAGGGTGAGCGTTGCAAGTTTTGACAAAAAATTAAACGATTTTTGTTCATAATTATAAAATAAAAAAAAATACAATTCAAGCAACTAATAAAAGTCAGCGAATATGTTTTTTGTTATGTCTAATACTAAATAAGTATTTATTAATGATCCTTCTAAAAAAAACTATAGAAAATACCAAAATATTCCTTTTTTCGGGGGAATTTATATCTTATCTAGGAATGTGACCTAGTTATCCCCATTTATCTGTTTTATCTATAAACACTCACACACACAGATATATATATATATATATATATATATATATATATATATATATATATATATATATATATATATATATGATGAGCTGATTGCGCTGGTTCCCAGACTTCATGAATTCAAGCGTCCTACGAGACTGGCATCCCGCTCTCACCCTTTCACTGTTGAAACTGTTAAATGTAGCCGTCTCTTCTACTCCAATAGCTTCGTATCTCGCACCTCTCGCCTGTGGAACTCCCTTCCCTATTCCTGTTTCCCTGACAGCTACAATCTCCAACTATTCAAATGTAATGTCAATCGACATCTCCAGTCGTCTTGATCTATCCACTACCCTTCTCCTCATTCTTTCCTCTATCACTACTATCCGCGCTCGCCCTAAATCCTCTGTAACCCCTTGCGTGCTAGTGGCTTCCCGCCTTGCTTGGATTGAAATGCTTATTAATATATATATATATATATATATATATTATTATTATTATTATTATTATTATTTAAAAAAATATATATATTATATTATTATTTAAAATATGTATTCATCGCGACACAGAAATTACCATGTTTCAAAGTAAACATTAAACTTTAAATTAAACTTTAAATTTTTTTTTTTTCATTCCCAAGCGATGTTGAATAACTTACGAAAAAAGGATTTACTTATATATATATATATATATATATATATATATATATATATGTGTGTGTGTGTGTGTGTGTGTGTGTGTGTGTGTATGTGTATGTGTTCTTTGGTTTACTTTTAGATATATGTATGTTCTTTTGCCTATCTCCCTTGAATACTTCTTTCGGTAGCATGTGTTGAAATACCATTTTAATACTCAAAATCCTATATCGCCCACGAAAATTTCCAATCACCCATATCATTTCTGTTCAGTTATTCATCACCTGCCCCCAAAAACTGAAATCGAACACGGGTGGGTGATATCGCTAATGTTCGGAAAAGCTGGTCTATAGAATGCTAATCTACAAGAATTAATTTTAAAAAAAACTCTCATTTTTTACGAATGAACCATTCTATAGTAAATAAACCTGAATCTCTTATTTATTTTAGTCTTAGGACTTGGAATCTTGTCCCTGATTGCTGCCTACGGAGCAACACGAATGAGCGGAATGCTACACGTAAGTACAAAAAAGTTATCTTTAGTTTTCTCGTTGATTCATCGATTTGTTTTTACGGCTTATCAACCTTTCGAAGGTTATTTAAAACCAGAAAATATTTTTTGATTGTAAGAATTTTTTTTTGTAATGATTTAGTGATATATTTTCCCCCACCAATTAACGAAGTCTGTAGGGGTTGAAATTTGTAGTCATCCGGAGGTATAAGGCCAGGTTAGGTCAACTCGGCTGGTGTAGTAAGATAACGCAGCTAAGCTGTGCCAATCTCTGCCTACTCTGCTCAGACACGTTTTCTTGCATTGTCTTAATTGAAGATAGCACCATTCCGATTGGCCATTTCGGGATGCGTTTCGTCGATTTCCGCTTTAATCAGGCCAGTTGGTGACAGTACTTGTCTGAAGGTGATGCCTCGTTTTGCGGAAAGTGTTTGTAATACACAATGCTATTCCAAATTCACCAGATGCGCACTATAACCTTCTTCCGATGCAGACCAGCTTTTGAAGTGGTTGACGGTGGCTCATTCCTTTCTCACCAGAATATTTCAGCTCTATATTATTGTAAACAATTCCTTTGTCATCGCCGGTGACCGTTCTGTTAAAAAAAAAAAATCTGTCGATTTTCTTGTGTTTGAATTGAGAATCGCAGATGGAAACGCAGTCTATTAATTTTTTTTTCTCCCTAGAGTTTTCAAATGCATTACAATTCTCATATGAAATATGTGGAGTATCTCTGCGATAGCCCGTGTGGGGTAACCTGGATTATTATTAAGCAGCTCGTTGATTTGTTTAGCATCAACGACTGCAAGCCTGCTGGAACGTTCCCGCTGTTCCGATACAACTTGATTTCAAGATTTCTCATACAACGCCGGCACAAATATCTAACCAAGGCAACTCAATCGAAGTTAGTATAAGTTACATTGACAGCTGAGAGGTTACTCTTTAGGCACGGCCGTCCAACCATCCTTTGCCTAATGTCATGAGATATTCTGTTGTCACTCATCCTTGTAACATGACCCGACCAGAGAATCAATTACACCAATGATGCAATTTGAGAGAAGATCAGCATTAGACAACCAATCGTCAAAAGTATAACCACAGACAACTTTTGCGGAAGACATTTATTGTCCCAAGCGCTTTCGGTCAATTCTTTAGCCATTTTAAAGGGTTTTGTTATTAATTATTGTCAATTTCTTCCTTTTTTTAAAAAGCATTTCACCATAAGAAAGGAAGGCGGGAGTGGCATTAGCACGCAATGTGTAACACAGAGTGAGAGTAAGAGTAAAAAGGAGGTGTTTGATAAGAAATGATGAAGAGAAGAGCGGGGATCAAGTTCAAGGTATCAGAAGATGTCGATTGACTTTACATTGTAATATTTGAAGATTATAGCTGTCAGGGAAGCAAGTAAGAGGAAGGGAATTTCACTGTCGGGAAGTGCCAGAGAAGAAGCTGTTGGAGTAGAAGAGGCGGTTATATTTAATTTTTCGACAGTGAAAGGGTGGGACCCGAGCTGCCAACCTAGTAGCACGCTTAAATTCATGCAGTTGGGTCACCAGTGAAAATAACTCGTCAGAGCAGTTGCCATGAAAATATTTGTAGAAAAAACAGAGAGAAGCTACATCACGTCTGTGAGAAAGTGACTGGCGTCGAGATGCCAGGTGAGGACCTATCACATTGCATTTTTTCA